TTAAAGGGTTCAAAGAAAACAAACCAAACCATTATACAACACGCCTACGCTGGCCAATCGTGCCCCAAACCACAACATACTTAGATGGCGATAAAATCTAATCGTCACGACTTCCACAACGCAATACGGGTTAATTTCGAAATTTCACGTCACTTTGTCTTTTAAGGAGGTCAAATATTGCATCCAGATTATTATTATTTATTTAAACATATAATCTGACAAAGTAATCACGCTTACATCAAATTTATTTAGTTATAATTAATTACGAATTTAAGGTATAATTATGAAACGAAATTATGAGATTTTTAACTCGGGAAGGTATGTCAGACTTTAATACAAGAAAAAAATATCAATGTGTAATTAATCAAACATTGTCTAAATTATCGTAAGACAAAGTTATTACTGGGTTATAGTAAATGAAAAGAAAAATCTTCTTAATACTAGAGTACAAAAACGGAAGATGATAATGAGGAAAAGAAATACCCAAACTCGGGTATTTATTCGTTTGAAAATGACATTTACTCCAGTGAAAAGACTGTCATTATAATATCTATTAAATTAATTTATAACCACAGAAAATATAATATTGTTACATGTATTGCAATTTCAAACTGCAACACAACTATAATTCAATTAAATAAAAAGTATATACCACTGTAAAGAGCCGTATGTAATTATTTCTTAAGTCGATTCTAATAAAAGGTCTAAATAAAATTAGTTTTACTACATAATCAATTGTTGATTTTATAAATAAACTTCTCAAGTTTTCAGATTATTTGTAGGACAATACATGAAAATGTAGATGCTCTAATACAAAAGAAGGAGTTCTATTAAAAGTTGTTTTCTTAAATGAATAATGTAAGAGGAAATATAAGAAACAAGGTATTGTTTAATACAATGCGTAATACTGATAACGGACCGGAGGGAAAACTTTTATTTAATAATGAATGACTTGATTTAACTTTTGTTCATAAAATGATAATTGACCGCAAATTTAATAACAAGAATGACGAAACATTATTCATAATAATAATAATTCTATGACTACAGAATTGAAATGATAACCCATCCGGTGTCGTTATTGACTCCGTCATTTTCAAATAAAATGACAATAAATACTTGGAAATAAAAATATGTTTTAATGATAGAGCACAGTGTTACAAAAGTAACAGACGTACAATAAATAATTAAAATAATTATTATAATAATTTTGAAAATAATAATTTAATCAACTTTAAACTCACTTGGATATAGACTTTAACAATCTTTCTTTACTTAGAACTATTAAAACATGATTATTATTACTCACAAGTTAACTAAAATTGCATATTAATCAAGTAAGTCGATTGTAACACTGTACCCCGTATCTGGAGTACCGTGTTACAGAGCAAGTTCTTTTATTTTCGGGAATAAATAAAAACTGCAAGATACCCTCCTATAATCTCTGTTGCATCATGAAATTAATATTCTGTTCGTTTGCCTTTGGAAGAGTTATACCATTTTTGACCATCAGAGGCACTTCTCTCATATTTTTTCAATTAACATTTGCTTTTAAAGCCTAGGCACAAAACAATCCAGACATTTGGTCTCATTGTTGCAGTGTAACATAGTGCCCCGTAACATAGTCAAATAAAAAGAATCAAATGAGTAATAGAGATTGTGTTTACAATAAACTACTAAACGATAATACAAGCATACATGACAAGAATGGAGATATGTGCATTGTAACAGTGTGCCCCGTGAAAGACGGAGCCCCACCTTAGCCTACATTGTTACATATATGAAAAATATAAATATCATAATTTCAATTGAGTTCTTTACAAAAATGTAACTAGGAAAATTTACTTACTTATTTTACATAAACAACAACAAAAAATTGTTGAAAATATGTAGTAGCAGACAGCTTGACGTCATTTCCTGTCTACTAACTCCCTAATATCCTGTTCTAATCTGACTTACCGCATAATGTTGTCGTCATTTACGATAAGAATATGCGAATGTCATGTTCTATACGTAATTCAAAGGAAGGAAAGAATTGAAGCCAACTGTGTAAATAATAAATTTGATCCCAACACAACCAGGTAAAATTGGTTATGTTGGGATGAAATTTAATACGTGAAAACAAAATATGTAAACTAATATGAAATTGTAATCAGTGATCGGGCTAGTAATATTAGTAATAGCCCGATCATAGGTTTGTCTCTTTTTTTTCTATTCCATGGTATATACAGTTGCTTGACACATGGGACAGGACTAACCATAAATATCTAAAATAGTTCTGATATCAATGGGGCTAACTGAATTTGCTATGCTATTCTGTTAAAAAACATTCACGAATTCAACGTCGAGCGCTGCGCTCAACATCGAGTTCAAGCATGTTTTTTGGTAGAACAACACTATAGTTCTATACTAGTATTAGCTCAATGTTCTATACTAAATATATTAACTGATCCGAGCGACGACACGAGGGGCGAACTAGTTATAATAATAATACTAGCCCAAAAATATCAGTAACAATATTAAAGGTTTACATAAAAAAATGTTTTTTTTTTACTGTCACGTGTCACGTCGTACCTGATATCACCAAACTACATCTATGTACACTAGGGATTTTTCATTTGAAGAATAATTCGACGGCGACCCTATATTACCTACGTGTAAAGGCGTGCGCGTGCGCAGGAAACACGCCCCGGCAACCAGCCACGTATGCGCCGGCTCCTCGACGCACAGCCGTAACCGACAAATAACTTATAACTGGTTGGAACATTCAAAATAGTTCAAGGTAATGTTCGAAAGGTTAAAATCATAAATTTGGTATGTAAACATTTGTGTATTACTTCTTGTTTCAGTCAGAGCTTTAAAGCTCTTATATTTGTTATTACAGCATTGCATATCTTCAATTACAATTTTATTGAAATCTTTGGTTTTCTACTTTCTTTCTTTCTAATATAATCATTTCTCACGTAGTTTTAAGTAAATTTTACGTAATTTTTTATTTCACTCTCTGGAGAAATAAATTGCAATTCACAAGTTTACTGAGAGTATGATTGAATTTAATAAAAATATAAAGTGATTCAATATCTTTAAATATATTTTGCCGAGATGATTTCAAGAACTCTAAAAAAAACTACAGCAAAAAATGAACAGACTGATAATCCTAATCGAACGTTTACGGTCATAAACACTAAGCTTCTATGATATCTTAAAATAGTTTTTGTTCGATTGATACATCCTGTATTGTACCAGTTTTTATGAAGTTCATTGTTTCAACGTGCATAATAAACGTAAACAACTGAATAAATGCTATATGCATTAAAGTATAGCGAATTGTGCAGAGATACTTTCTATTATCCATTAGCATAGAAACTTGTATCCAAATCTAAGTCGGAGATAGCCTTGCCACTTAGTAGTCAGATAACGTGGGACGAAAGTCTCCCACTCTAAGAAAAACCTTCATTTGATTTACCTATATAAAGTTACAATATAAACGAGCGTGACACGTACTTCTAACTTTATTTTATTTATTACTATAGTAGAAATTATTTGTATACTACTTATGAAAATGTACAGTGAATACCCCAAACTGAACTTTTTTTAGAAACATATGATCTTATATTTCAAAACGATACCTGACTACTACTTAATACTACTACTACTACTACTACTACCACTACTACCGACATAATAATGTCCACTTAACAAAAGATTTTTTTTTAATTCGGTTCGCAACGCAAATGAAAATACCCAATTATCATCTCAAAGAACTTCTAAAGTATTAAAGTCAATAAACTTTAAACATAAAAATAAAACTTCTTCAAATAACACTATAATTATTAACTAAATACCATAAAAAGATAGTGATGTTGACGTAGGTACGAGATAGGTAGGTGCTAGCTCTTTAAGTTGGTAACATATCAGCTCTAATTAGTTTTTAAACGATTATTTTCAACTAACTGTCAATAAACTGTTACAACGTCGAACAAATGAGTATTCTACTAGAGAACTATTCAGTTTTGTAAAAAAAAAAACACAACCATATACTGTAACGCAGCAAAAGCTGCTAAGATACTAAATTAACCAAATTAAATAGGACAAGACAAGATAATTAAATAGGACGTAGAAATAAAAGCAATTCGTCGGTTACTTACTCAGCTTATTTATGTAAAGAAATTTCAATGAAAGTACTTGTCGCTATCACGTAGAGCTAACTAACACAATAGAGTTAAAGTTAAACAAGAAAAAGAAAGGACCAAAATCAATAACCACTACACACAAGTGGTAAGAATTTAAAGCAGGTTTTTGTTAGCGGCTGTTTAAAATCATTCATTTCTCACACTTCAATGGTTTCTATGGGAGAGGGAGCATCGGGAGACGTCGCGCAGGTACAAATGCACAGATAATAAAAAAAAATCTTCAAAACCCCTGTGAGATTGTGGAATGTAAACTTTATTGTGACATTGTCCAACGTTAACACCGTGATGTCATATTATGTCACCTAAACAGCTTTTGGGTGTTCACCGACTGAAGGATATCATTTTACAAACATGTCATTTATATCTAAGTAAAACTCCTTATCAGCTCCTTCGAACTGTTACTAATTCGACCACTGGCATGCATGACATTTCAGTTTCGCATTACGCTATCGCTTATTGGGTGTAGCAAGAGTCTCTTGTGTATACCAAACTTTTAAAATATATGTTTTTATCTTTTTTACATTACAGATACAAAATGAGATTCAAATTAAATGAGTTTTTATTTTTTAATTTGTAACGTCTGCTGTTGAATGTTGACGCCGCGCCGTCGGCATCAACGAGGGACTCCGTAGTTGTGTTCGGCCCCACAAAACACCTTTGACGTTATTCCGTCCTTGTCGCCCTTTAGATTTAACATATATCCATCTTCGTCTCGTCTGAACCCTATTTACGAGCGTACAGACAGCATAAACAATTTCTTGAGCGTTGCGCGCGTAATTTTGAGGTTATGGTAGTATTAATTCGTCGGCCGGTAGAGGCGAACGTGTCGGTGTAGTCAAACGGTATTTAATAATCGTGTGTGCATTCGTTTTTACAATCGATAGTTTGTGAACTTAGTGCAGTCGTGCATTTTGGGTGAAAGGATAACTGACTTGCTCGTGACTTTTGAACTAAAGTGCCAACCGATTGCATATCAGTAGGATGAATTAATTTATATAAAACTTAAAGGTAATTTACAACTACTTAATAATATTTCAAACTAACTTATGCTAAATTATTTTTTTTTGTAAAGAATGCGTTCACAATGCTGATTGAAGCTCTAATAATTGATTTTTTTCCTATTATTTCTCTTGGATATTAAATATTTCTTTCTGATAAATAAAGTTAACATGCAATTTTAAAAAGAGAGGACAGCATCATCCTTTAATTACAGTACGTTTATTAATTAGATTAATCTAAGGTTTCTCAGCTAAACTTTAAACTTTTAATAAAGAATTCGTTCTAAATATGATCTAAATAGTGCACCTGTATATTATTTTTACAAATGAAAGTTTAATCACTTTTCTAGGTAGTTAACCACACGACCAATTATGTTACAAGAAACAAAAGAATCGTGTGAATTCAGATTTTAATAAGAGTTTTAATCACTTTGGTGGTTACTCAGCTGTAAAGGTGATAAGCAAATGTTGGAAAAGCTCCGCTTGCAACGTTGCACTGTAGCGGGGGTTGGCTCCCCCAGCAACGACCCTTGCACGCCGCACTCCAACCGAATCCAACACCAAATTATTCAGACACATTAATTGAACTTTATTTGTATCGTCATACGAATCATATTCATCTCTTTACATTTAGGTAACTTTGCAGACAGTCCCGTCATATATTCGCAAACACACCCTCTTTTCATTACTTATACAGTATGCATACCGCGGTATTGTTGTTGCATCAATCCATTAGGCGATTAATCTGACTATATTGTTATGATACTCATAATAATTCAAATTAAAACGGTATCTGTTTATATGGACTGAACGAAAAGAATTTTGTTTTGAATCACCTGACGTTATGAGGATTGCAGTTGAAGTGAAAAAAAAACCGTTACTTAACGATTTTTGCTTTCGTCAACGAACAAATTATAAACGAATATTAATGTTGAGTCATTTGTGATCAGCGTAGTGGTTTTTTATTACTTCTGGACTTCTCCATAAATGTTGGAGTAAGGTTATTATCACAAATATTTATTCAAGCAACTTATAAGGATGAAAGTGTGGGCTTAAGATTAGAACCAAACCATAAAAAGACTTCTACAAAAAACCTGATTAGGTGTATTCGAGGAAATATATTTTAAGAGGATGCTTTAAGCAAATCAATAATATAAATTTGTTGTAAACCATAGGAAGACCTACTTACTATAAAAAGTATATTAAATGACTGACGAAAACAATGTTCTCCTCAAAAAATTACTTTATTCAATATATACGAGTAGCTATCTATCTTTTCTTTCTATAGGGAATATGGACGAATATTAAGTTTTTTGTAATATTTATTTTGTAATCGAGAACTCTTATCCGTCTTTACTTTTGGTAATCTGTCTTTACCTTATAATGGTAACAATGTAATTCTTTAGTAATCACGAGAGCGCGTATTTTCAAAATATCTAACTTTCAAATATTTTTGTACAAGAAATGCCGTCAATATAAGCTATAATTGTAAGTGACAAAACTACATCACATTTCTAAAGGTTCTGTCACAGGCAAAAGCATTTTTATCTATTTCTTATTGTAATTAAACGCTTATTTATAGGATAAATATGTAAATCTTTGTTGTCTAGGGAATCACGTAACACTTTTACAATAATCACAATAGTTTGATAATATTAAATCAAAAACTATTTTTGCCGCGTAATTCTCTTTCCTCTGTCTCTATCACTTTCCTATTCGGAAACGTCACTTGTCTCTAATGTCTCATTGATAATTAATTTTCGTTTAAAATTTACATAAGTTGAAAATTAATAAAAAGATCTAAATAACAAGACTACTTATGGCCTCTGAGTAATAATAGTATGAATAGTGTGGGTAGAATCAGAGATGAATAAAGTTACCATTCACCATAAACACAATAGTATTCTTAAAACGGATATTAAGTGTTACGATTTATTTTCTATTACATATTTGACAGGTTATTATTTATGTTTTTTGGCATTCGAAGTGAATTATGCGGTACCATTATTACCTAAGTAACAATAACAATGATTCATTTGGTTTAAATCATAATGAGCAGGTATTGAAAGCGTCGAATACTGAGGAGTAATCTTTCAAATTTGAGGGCATATACTGAAATTATTTTGTTACTTTAGTCGTATGAAATTTCAACTGGATAATAATATTGTCATCCATATTAAAAGGTTTTGTCATGTAATACTATTTAATTGCCTTCCAAATAGACTTTTTTATTTTTAAAAATAATAGTTTCTGTTAACAACGGTATTCTGATTATAATAATACTGTTTTCAAATCCCTATTAATACCTAGTCGTCATAAATATTCTCGTTTAACGATTTTCTAGATATTGGCATTCTCTTACGGTCCTTGATCTATTGAATACGTTTCAAATAAAGTAGATAAATTTCATTTTAACCTATCACGATGTAACATTTGGTAATCCTTTACACAATTAGCCCACTATGGTAGAAGGGCGTAAACAATTTAATCCTACTAATATTATAAATGCAAAAGTTTGTGAGTATGTTTGTTTCTCTTTCACGCAAAAACTACGAAACGGATTTTGATAAAATTTGGTATCCAAGTAGTTCTAAATCTTAATTAACATATAGGCTATTTTTTATCCCAAATGAAACTAAGCTCTAGGAATAAATGTGAAAGCTAGTATTTTAAATAAAGCTTTTTCACCATTTCAAATATCTAAAGATATATTTTGCAGTATTCTTTTGTTTAGGAAACATATAACATAAGCTTACATGCTTTTAATATGGTAGAGGTTTGTGTTTGTTACACATACTGTTAATAGAATTTTTTTCCGGGTCTCCCACGCTTGATAATCTGTCAGACAATGATGTGTCTCTTCAGATTACTTCTTCTGTTATACATCTGATCATGTCACAACCTTATCTTTTCCAAAGAAATTTAGAGCAGGTACTTCTTTAATATTATCGCATAAATACATTTTCATTATTTACAGCTATTTATACATCTAAGTATAATAAAGCGGAAAAATTTGTTTGTTTGGATTGAATAGGCTGGAAACCTACCGATATTATAATTACTTTTATCTACGGAAAGCTACATCATACGTGGATGAGATAACCAGTAATTTATGTAAGCAAAGTCACGGAAAAACAACAAGCATTATATAAAAATCAAGACATTTTTTTCTATTAAACACTAAAATTACTTATTAATTTTATTTAAATTATGTAATGCACTTAAAGCTTTAATTTACTTTCTTATGATATAAGCAATCCTTGAATATAATGTATATACTCGTTGATCATAAAATATGTGCCATTAAAGCATGCTTTAATTATATGTTCAAAAGAGTGCACCGTTTTTTGTTAATTATGAAAAATTATACCACAAGCAACATGTGACGTCAATTTCCATTAAGAAGCATGAAGAATTTATTATTACAAGTACTTTTACTGTTGCAAAACCTTGAACGGTGTCCCACATACTCGCCGGCGTAGTGATACCTGTCTCAAGCTTACCTCTGTCAATCGTAATATTACTTATTACCACCCACGCTATCTTTGATTGTGAAAAAAAAACTTTATTTATCACCAGAGACGATTATACTTCATTTAAACAAAAACAATCTAAACAGGTGTCGAAAAAGAACCAAAACTATAAATAAGCAAAAATATATTTAGGTTCTTTGCTATTAAGTCTGGGATAGATGAAAACTAGATTAGGCATGTCGATTCACTTGAAATAAAATCGATCTCTAAATCGATTCGAATCGAATATACTAGATTCGATTCTCGGTTAAATTTTTTCAATCAAACATGCCTTATTTAGACTCAGATTATTATTGTAAGAGACTGGAATTGTAAGAGACCAATCAGGTAGTTTGTTATAATAGATGGGTGATGTATAGGGCTTCCACGAGCTGGAGTAACAGTAACAGTAGTTAAAACTATACTATACTGACATTCGAATGGGTTCAGAAATATTTATTTAATGAGTTCAAATTATCAATACGTCGGACAACAACAAAATATTTAAAAACTAAAAATATCATATCCAATTTAGGAATTTTATATTGCTAGTTCTTGAATTGAATTGAATCGGTCCAATTCGAGGGGTTCATGAATTGATTCAAGAATCGACGTAGCATTCCAAATCGATCAGAAAAATCGATTATTTTACTCTGTATAATCGATTTTTCGATTAATCGATCTCAGATCGACATGCCTAAACTAGATTTGCATATTTCATAAATAAATGCACTTACTACGAGATCATGGGGTATATAAAATAACCGTGATTCTGGTTTGCGTTAAGAAGCTTTTTATTTATTTTAGTTTTACCGATGGCAAACTTTATAAAAAAATTTGTAGTTTTTTTTAATTCGAAGTGCGAATTCCTGGACATTTATGTACAATACAACTAACTTTTTCATGGACTTCGTATATTTTCATGACATCTAATAAATATAAATAATTATGATGTTTTATTATAATACCTTCTTAGACAGGTATTAATTTAAATATAATCCGTATGTAAGTACGTTAATAATTGACTCTTGAATCATTTCATTAAAGAACAACGACTCTCTGCGATTACGTCAGCTTAGGATTAACAGTTCTCACAGTCGTTTAATTCTATTGTTCTTAAGATATTTAGGTACTTGCCAGGTGGTTGTACTTCACTTGTAATAAAATGCTTCTTTGGCACATATAATGTCTCATAGCCGATGGGCAAAAACCGAAAATGCACTAGGTACCTACGTTATTTCAAAATAACAAACATTTTAAGATATATATTCAAAAATAGAATTAATGATCGAACTATGCACATTGATTTATATTTTTACAGACATTTTCTCTTTAAATGTATTTCAGTTATAGGCTTATGGAATGTAAAAAAATAAATGTAATTGCCCAACCATTTAATGGATTTTAAAATTATGCTTTACGTCCTAATACAAATCGGTAATTGTTTTAGAAAAAAGGAATGGAATGATAATTATAAATTTCTCTTCGTTTAAAAAGA